CTCAAAAACATCAATTCTTCTACAGTCTTCCTTATTCACTGTCCAGCTTTCGCATACATATGAGGTTATTGAAAATACCATAGCTTGGGTCAGGCGCACTTTAGTCTTCAAGCTGACATCTTTGCTCTTCAGCACTTTAAAAAGGTCTTATGCAACAGATTTGCCTAATGCAATATATTGTTTGATTTCTTGACTGCTGCTTCCGTGAGTGTTGATAGTTGATCCAAGAAAAATGATGTGCTTGACAACTTCAAACTTTTCTCTGTTGATAAGAATGTTGTTTATTGGTCCAGTTGTGAGGTTTTTTGTCTGCTTTACAATGAAGTGCAATCCACACCAAAGGTTGTGCTCTTTGATTTTCATCAATAAATATTTTATGTCCTCTTCACTTTCAGCAAGCAAGGTTGTTTCATCTGCATATCTCAAATTGTTAATGTAAGAATACAATTAGGGAAAATATGTATGGTGGGTATGAGAACTCTCTACTACTGTTGCCATTTTTCTATAAATTGAAAACTATTAAAACCAAAGTTTTTAAACATTTATTTTAATAGTTAAAAAATAAATTCAACTATCAAAGTCCCTTTGATAATGACAGTCAAAGTTATCAAAAATAAACTAAGTTAAAATTAGCGAATGAGGCAAAAAACAAAGTAAGAAACACAAAATACAGAAAAACTATATTGATATATAAAACTAGAAACAGCGAATACATATATGATCCTTTACAGTGCGAGTAAATATTGCAATGATGCCTGTTCTTAAATTTACAAGTTAACCTAAAATATAATCAAATTCCCCATAGGATTCTTTTTTGGGACAAGGGAACAATGAAAGCGAAACTGCTCAGTTTTTTGTCATCTCACATAATTGGAGAAGGCCTGCTCAAAACTGTGGAAATTATACTAACACTCTGAACATTGAGAAGGTGGTCAGAAGACAAAAAAAATTTAAAGTAATGTTAATTGTTTGCCATTTTAAACTAAAAGTATCCTGTCCTTGTGACTAGAAACTGAACTTGTATTTCCAGAATTCTAGAAAAGACATATTTTCATAAGACTCATTTAAAGCTATGTCAGTTCTTTTTATTTAAACTATATTTTTCTTCTGAATCATACAGTGACTCTTATCTTTAATTTCAAAGTGAATAAAGAGTTGCATTTCTCCAATTCTTATCACTCCTATCCACTCATAGATAACTAATGTTAGCCCTAGATAAACATTGTAGTTCAAATCAGTGTTATTCATACATTTCTAAAACCTAGGAGAATAAATGTTTTTTGAAAAACAAATTCTTGCTAGCTAGGTCAGTTTAAACTTTGGATAAGTCATACATCTTTTGCAAGTTCATTCTGCTATAAATCCTGATATCTTCAAAGATATTACAAAACAACCTTCAATAATTTATTTTCTTAACTTTTTTTTTTTTTTTGACAATAATCCAAATCCTAAACTCAAATTTGAGTAAAATACAATTTTTCTTCGAGAAAAACAAGTTGTTATCTTCCTTTTTGTAATGTAGTCTCCGGTGCTTGTCAAGTATTACACATTCCTATTTCAAAGTATAGTTTTCCACCAATTTTTCTCTAAGAATGCAATGGAGATTGTCTTAAGTAAAGTAATAGAATGATGGTAGGTACACAAACTGAACACCCCAAATGACCATGCCAAGGTCACATAAACTCCAATCCCTTCCCCCTGATATCTCGGAAGGAAATGACAGCCTCCTACTCCAACTACAAAAGTCTTTGTTCTCTAAGAGGGGACAGACAACCCAGCACTTTTGGCTCTCCTTGTTCCCCTTAACTGTCCTTACACTTGTGAATACCCCATGATATAACAAGACCCTAGCCTCTGCTCCTTACACGGTGAAACTTCATGATCCAGCCAGCCACCACTGGACATAGCTGTGTTTTGCCCTTTGAGGGTAAATTCCCTTACCAGTAAACCATCTCTTTTCTGTAATAAACGAATGCATCTCAGAATAAGTTCTGGTCATCTTTTCAATCTCTTGGCACCTATGTACTCAGAAGGGTTTTCCCTTCTGGGCCTGACACCCAAAAATGAGTTAATATTCTTGAACAATCCTAACATAAGCATGCATTAAGTGAAAAAAAACAAAAAACAAATTGAATAACATCAAATTCATGTTAAGAAACCCATAGTGATTTTTGCTGCAAATAGTGCAGATGAAACCAAAGACACTGGAAACGTAAAACTCCCCATTAAATGAAAGATAAGAAGGCAAACTACCGACCACCCACTAACAGATCTTCAGATGAAGGAGCTGATGACACAGAAAATGTACCCAGGAAAGTTGCTTCCAGGAGTACCCTGGAGTCGGTTCTGACTCATAGAGACCCTGTACAAAGTTTCCAAGGCTGTAAATCTTTACGGGAGCAGAACGCCTCATCTTTTTCCCGCAAAAAAGCTAGTCGTTTCGAACTGCTAACCTTAAGGTTTGCAGCCCGAAGTGCAGAAAACATGCGTTATACTACAATAGAAAATAGGTGGAATTCATTTTAAAACATTTTCAGAATGAAAGTGTTCTTTTGTTTCATAAAACTGAAAGGACAAACACTATTTTTACATGAAAACAAATAGTAGTAGGTGTACAATCCTTGAACTGCCTCTAGAAAAATCTTCATAGTAAAGTATATTTAGCAGATTATAAATCCCATAACTTGGATAGGTTCTATCTACTTTTCCATCACGTAACTGGATTAGCTCTTTTTGCTAAGTGGAAGCATTGTAATGTCATTTTCTGTGTAGCTTCTACTTCTGTCTCCTAGAATAGTTACTTTTGGCCCCCTGCTACAATGCTGCTAGAAATCTCAAACAAATGAAGAAGCCAAGTGGAGACAAGCATGCCAGTTAACAGTTCCAGCTGAGTTCCAACTAACAGGTGCATCAACTGCTAGTCATCGTTAACTTCCATTATAGGGTCTCCAGTCAACATCTAATCTGCAAATTGTGGGAAACTCCAAGAAAAAGCTGCCCAATAAACAATAAGCGCTAATAACAAATTATCTCAAATAAATGTGGAGGCTATTTGTCATTCAAAAGTAGATAATTGGAATAATATGAGTAGGCATAGGTGTGTATGTGTAAATTGGTGTGGCTCCCCGTGGCTTGGAGGAATACGGTAAAACCTGTAATAGGGTCCTTTGTTGCAAGTAGTTATAAGCATTGGACTGCTAGCCACAAGATTGGTGATTCAAAACCAGCAGCTACTCCATGGAAACCCTATACAGTGTCATTATGACTCAGAACTGACTCAATGACACTTAACAATAAAATCATCCCTTAAGGAATGGAAAACAAAAATACTATTAGGATTTCCATTTGCAAAAACAGACATATGTTGCATTTGTTGTCGTTAAGTGCCGTTGAGTTGATTCTGACCCATAGCGACCCTGTATAGGGTTTCCAAGGAGCAGGAGGTGAGCTTGAACCACTGACCTTGAAGTTCAAACAACTTTACAATCTGACGCATTAGCCCACAGTGCCACACCAATTATGTTGCATTTAGGGAGGCAAAATTCATCCTTAATCAAAGGTGAGGTAAATAAACTTTAAAAGTTAAGTCTCAGAATCTGTTACCATAAGTTCTATTGGCAATAAACCACCTTTCTTAGGACGCAAGAACATTTACATACCATTATCAACATAGTTGCACACAGACTCAGAATCACCAAATTTACTTACTCTATAGTGACCAATCAATTTATATGTAAAGAAATCATGAGGGCAGGGGTGGGAACTAACCTGGGCCATTTAAATACTGGGTAAGTGAACAGTGCAGTCGGACAATGATAGGTTCTGTTCGAATGACTTCCCAAGCCACAGCAATCTCCTCCTGCACAAATATATTTAAAAGATGATTCAGTTACCTTTTAGTAGAGTTTTAAATTTTTTTTTTCAAAATGAAATTAGAACTTTAAATAGTTAGGGAGAAGAAAGAAATGCATACATCCTGAAGGCCTATGTATTATCTCAAAACCAAGTTTTGAAAAAATGTTGAATTACTCTTTTTCATTACATATAAAAATTAAAATTGAGAACTTAATATATGCATCCATTCCTCCTGTTAAGTTCCGATAGCCATGTAGAAAGTGGTGCTATGTAAACTGCATTAGATCACAAAATGGATCATTTTACTGTATCATTACAGAACTGCAAAAATTACATTATTACATAACTGCCAAACCAAGTTATGTATCATGGCCCAGCCAAGTTAACACATAGCCTGAGCCATTACAGCGATTCTCGCCTTGCAACTAACTCAGCATTTTCCATACCCAGACATACATCGTTAATTCACAAAACAGTTGGATAGTAGATTTTTTGCCATTCTTGTAAATGAAAAATGTCAGATAATGATTCAGTGAATAAGTGAAGACTAGGTGTAATGAAGTATAAGATATAGGAACCTATCAATTTCAGAATATATTAAAAGAATCAAGGCCAAAAAAAAAAAAAAAACCAAACAAAAAAACATGCATTTTTGTTTCTTCAGTAAGTCATGGCACTTCTTCCTAAGCCACTTTAACAAAAGTCAAAATATAAAAGAGAATGAATAATTAATTTTTTTCTGAGAATAAAAATCAATGTAATTTAAATATATCAATCATTACAAAAATAGATACTTACATCAAGAAAGCTAACATCAATATGCAGATCAATATCTACATCATCAATGGCTCCATATTCCCTGAAAACAAAGACTAACATTAATGTTTAATTTTTCTTAAAAGTATATATGTACCTGGATATTTTAAATTAAAATTTAATTTTAATTTAATTTAATTCTCATCCTGATTTTCACAGATATCTCAGAACTGACTGTGGACATGAACTAACAACCTGGTTGCACTGTGACCTATCTATATCATACAGAAACCTCTTTATTATTTATGCACATAAATTTACCGTTGTTGCTAGATGCCCTCCAGTTGCTTCAACTCACGACGACCTTATGAAATGTTGTCCAATCTTATGATATTTTCATCATGATTGATGTTTCAGTCCATGTGTGTTGACTATCTCGTCAAACCATCTTATTGAGGGTTTCCTGTTTTTTGCTGACACTGTAACTTTACCAATCATGATGTCCTTTTCTAGCAATCAGTCTTTCCTGATAATGAGTCTAAAGTAAGACAGTTGATGTATCACTGTCTTCACTTGCATTCTGGTTGTCTATCTCCTAAATTCAGGAGTTGTTTACGTTATAGTTTGGTTCACAGTCTAGTCATCCTCACATCAACGGAGTACTCGGCTATACTTCTTCCAAGATAGATTGGGTCTTTTCTTCAAGTAGTCCATAGAATATTCAGTATTCTTCACCAACACCATAGTTCAAAGACATTCAATCTTTCTTTGGTCTTCCTTTTTCATTGTTCAGCTTTCACAAGCATTTTGAGGCCATTGAAAATAACAACATTTGAATCAGGTGCACCTTAGTCCTTAAAGAGTAGCATCTTTTCTTTTTAACATTTTCAAGATATCTTTTGCAGCAAATTTGCCCAACACAATACATCATCTGATTTCTTGACTACAGTTTCCATGGGCATTGATTGTGGATCCAATCAAATTAAATTCTTGACAACTCCATTTTTTATCTCCTTTATCACAGCACAGAGTAAGTACTTAATAAGTATTTCTGTGGACTGCATATTTAATACTAATAATAGTGAAAATATCACGGCACTTCAGTAAGGTTCACAGAAGAAATCTTAATGATTAAATGATTTTGTATAATGTGATAAATAATATAATCCATGAGATCTTTTGCTTTTTGATGGCAATGACAAAGACAGCATGCTACAGTATAACTTAGCTTCAGTGCTTTCTCTAGTATCCCCTTAAAAATGTACCAAAATGCTAAGTATATTTTCATCATTTATGAATTGTACTGTTTATTCTTTTATGATAGAAGTTATACAAAGAAGAAAAGGAGGAAAAATGTTCACATAGAAATTAACTTTTTTAAAAAATTCTGAAATGTCAAAATATCTATGCAGTTCAGTAAAGATAAAACAACACACAAATTTAGATATGATATTATACATAATGTATGGCAAGAATAAAAACCAGGCAAATGAACCAGTTCTTCTATTACTTTAGTTCAGGGATCAGTGAGCTTTTCTGTAAAAGGACAAGACAATACATATTTTAGGGTTTTCAGGCCATATACAGTCTCTGTTATATATACTTCTCTCTTTGTTGTTGTTTTTCACAACCCTTTGAAGAAAAACAACAAAAAAGAACTATTCCTAGCTCCCATGCTGTTAAAAAACAGGCTCCTATGGCCTGCCAAGCACAAAAAGTGTGTAATTCATAAATACAAAAGGTCAAATGTCTATTAATGTATGTCAAAAGAGAGAGCCACTAAATCTAATGAAGAGGAGAGATTATTAATGATGTTCAAAAGCAGTCTTATGAGCATGACATAGCAGAAGCTGAAACTGACAGAAAATAATGACGAACCGAGGCATAAGCTGGGTCTTAAGGCAAATACATACATAGAGACCTAACTTTATCAGTGGTTGCCAGCGTTGTGCGGGAGGGAAAAAGTGTAGCCACTGTTTAGGAAGCACTGCGTCTCTGTTTATGGTGGGGAATATTTAGCATGGGCATGGAAGATTGTTTCACTAGTGCAAGTGGTATCACTAAGTCATATGGTAAAACATACTGATTTCGCAAACATTGTACTGTACACATTAGAGTCCTGGAGGTGCTGTCATAAGCATTGAACTGCTACCTGCAAGGTTGGGGACTCAAACTCACCAGCCGTTCTGTGAAAGAAAGATGAAGTTATCTGCTCTTGTAAATATACACAGTCTTGGAAACCCTCCATATGGTTTCTATGAGTCTGAATCAACTTGAAGGCAGTGGTTTTTAGTGGGGAGGTGTTATACATATTGCCTTCTACAATAATAAAATAATTGGATCACTTTACATTTTTTTTACATTATAGATATTGATTAATCTTCTGAATAAAAATCTATGTGCACTTATCTTCTAATAGAAGACTTTATAGTCTGGGTCAAATACTATGAATATAGGTAAGCTTTCGGATGGTGGTGATGGTGGTTATATGTTGCGGAGTCGGTTCTGACTCACTCATAGGTTTTCTCAGGCTATAATTCTTTATGAGAACAGTAAGCCTCATCTTTCTCCTTCAGAACGACTGGTAGCTTTGAACTGTTGAATTTAAGATCAGCAGCCTAACTTGTAACCAGTACGCTACCAGAGCTCCTTTAATCTGCTTTAAAAGTGTGCCAATTTATAATCACACTAGCAAGGAGCTCTGGTAGCGTAGTGGATACGAGTCGGGCTGCCAACCTCAAGGTCAGCAGTTTGAAACTACCAGCAGGTCCGTGGAAGAAAGATGAGGTGTTCTGCTCCCGTAAAGATTTACAGCCTCGGAAACCCTGTGCAGGGTCACTATGAGTCAGAGCCGACCCCACAGGTACTTAACAACAACAACAAAGCCAGGTTATGCTAGGGCCCACTTTCCACTTCCTCATCACCAGGCATTTGTTTCTCTGTTTTCAATTGATTAGTGGAAGATAACTACTGTTTGGTATTATTTACAATGGCAAGACTTGATCCTTTTCAAAGCAAAGAGAAAGAGATTAAAGATAAAATCCTCCAGAAAGAATCTATTCACAGTTGTTTTCTCCATAAATACTTCAAGAGAAGTATTTCCACTGGTTTCTTAGTTTTTATTGTTGTTGTTGTGTTTTTGGTTAGGAATAGTCTCTGCCTTCCGTTTCCAACACTCCCAGTTTCGATTTATATATATATTAAAAAAACGAAATAAAGGGCAACAAAGGCTCTCCTGGGGCACTGAGAGCACAGAATTTTAAGTAGGTAGGTCTTAAAGGTTTGCAACTAACTAGATTCTGTAAGTAGAGATCTGAAAATAGTCACTTTTTACATTTTGTTTTTATGCTACACTTCAAAGAATTCACAAACAACACTGGGTATATGCAAACCCATTTCCTTTGCTGTGGTACCCTTTTTATACAATGCCAGTAATTTCATGTTTCCTGCTGAGAGATTACAATGAATGATTACAGTTTGCCCCTGATACAATGACTCAGTCATCAGGATTGCTTCTGTATCTGAATAACTTTCACTGGGCCACAATCTCATGAATAGCAAATGCAAAATCAAGTTGAATGCCTGAAATATGAATGCAAGTTGAATTATGAAGCTAGATATCTGATTGTGCCCTCAATGCTATAATAATTTCTTGCTCTGCCTACATTTATTCACTGTGAAAAGACCTAAACAAATTGAACTTGAATACTTTTGTAAGTTGAAGGAAACAGCACGCAAGGAAGTGATCTGATGCGGTTGTTCTCTTTGGAACTGAGTTTTCAAAAAACTCCTTGAGAAATGCTCCTACCTGACTACCCTTTAACACTTTACATAGGACCTACTTTACTGAAGAATGTATGTGGGAACCTTGAAAAAACACCATGCTAAGTGACATAAATCAGTTACAAAAGGACAAATGCAGATTCCAATGGTAGAAAATATCTAGAATAGGTAAGTGTAGACTGAGCTACACTTATTAGGAAAGAAGAGGTTCTGGTGGCACAATAGTTAAGTGCTCAGCTCCTAACCTAAAGGTCAGCAGTTCAAATACACTAGCCACTCTACAGGAGAAAGATGCATCTGTCAGCAAAGTGATACTGGTAATGATTAGACAACATGATGATTTATTTTATGTTATTGAAATGTGAATGTGAAGAATATAGAAATGGCAAGAGGTCTGTGATATATACTTATCAGTTAAAACACTATATGTAAGGAATTTTATTTCATTGAACTTGTATTTTTAAGGGCACTATGTACTTGAATTTTTTTTTTCTTTTTAATTTTTTAATGCAATGATAGCAATAACAATCTCATGAATAAACAATATCATATGTTAAGTTATCAATATTGGTCCTCCTCTCTCTGAATGTCAATGTTGTTAAGTGCTATCAAGTCAATTCCCATTCTTAGCAGCCCTGTATAGTTTCCAAGGAGTAGCTGGTGGGTTTATGTGGTACAAAGTCCAGTGCTGATCCTACAGCACCACAACAAGAGTCTCCATATAGCTAGACTATATTCATTATGCTACTGTGATATTTAAAAATACAATCTGAAAAAAATTAACAATAACTGTGCTGGCTATAATAATCAAATATTTTCAATATCTACATTTCTCTCACAAACTCTCAAACAAATCGTGTTATTAGGTGCCATCAAGTTGGTTCTGACTCAACGACCTTATGCACAGCAGAATGAAACACTGCAGGTTCCCACAATCCTGTTACACTTGAGCCCATTGCCAATGCCACTGCCACTGTCCCAATCCATTGGGGGGGGTCTCTGTCATTTTCGTTAACCGTCCACTTTACAAAGCATGATGTCCTTCTTCAGAGACTGGTCCCGCCTGATAAAAGTATGAGAGATGAAGTCTGGTCATCTTGGCTTCTAAGGAACATTCTGGCTGTACTTCATTTGTGCTCTTGGTAATCCATGGTACATTTAATATTCTTCCCCAACACGATGACACAAATGCATCAGGTTTTCTACAGTCTTCCTTATTCACTGCCCAACTTTCACTTGCAGTTGAGACTACTGAAAATACCAGGGGTGATGGTACTAGACATCGTCATAGTCAACTCTACTTTGAAGAGGCAGCTCTTCCCCAGTTGTATTTTGAGTACTTTACAACCTTAGGGACTCCTTTTCCAGCTTAATGTCTGACAATATTCTAGTGCTAGTCAACATGTTTCAATATTCAATATTCTGATGCTATCTGAAAGTGTTCCACTGCTATTCATAAGGTTTTCCATGGCTAAACATTCAGAAGTAGTCTGTTTTTCTTCTTCCTAGTCTGGAAGTTCAGTTGAAACCTGTCCACCATGGGTGAACCTGCCAGCATTCAAAATACCAGTGGCATAGCTTCCAGAAACATGCAAGCAGCCACAGTATGACAGACTGACAGAAACAAATTATATGTATACAGATACACATACAAGTAAACTTCAAAACAAGCTCTTGGGAAATAAGCCTTTATGATATTTAGTTATTTCTGCTTTTACCAAATTATTGTTTGAGAAGAAATATATTTTGTGAAGAAACATACTATTTCAAGTCATCTGAAGCAGAGTAGCTTCAAGTCAATCTCTGCATGCCTACTCGGTGTGTTTTTTGCTCACTGTGGGATAAATGTTTGTGAACGGCCAAGAAACACACAAATTCAGTAGTTAAGAAAAAAGCTTAACAGATTAAAACATTTGCAAGACTGAGCATAAGGTAGTTATAAGTTTCTCTAAAGGTACCTTTGGATGGGTGCCTCTGAAAAATACAATTAGGTGCTGGTGGCTGAAGGGAGCCTTTCATTTGTACTCTTGTACAAGTGAATTTCACTTGTTTGAGAATCAACGTATGGAAAAGACCCTCTCTGAGAGAAAGGGATGTTTATGTTGTTTTCTCAATTAAAATACAATTATAGACACACTCCAAAAACTTCTCTGAAGGACAATAGGGATGAGAAGAATTACAAAATTTGAACCAGATAAGAAGAGAAAGCACATATAAGATGGTGCAATAGAAGTATAATATTCACAGTTGCTAGTAGGCCAGGGACAGTCATTAACTATTCAAACGTTTTAATAATAAATCTAACACTTTCCTATACCCTTTTCCACCCTAATTGGGGGTGATTTTGCCTCAATCTAGGCAATCTCAGTCATTCCCATCTCTTACAGAGAACTTAGATATGGTTAGGTGCCTTTCTCATTAGATGCCATGCTTTAAAAAAATGACATCAAATAGCCCATTGTGTATACTGAGGTACTTTTGCTCTTCAAACTCCATTAAGTTTTTATAAGTCTCAATTAAGTGAGAGAACAGTTAATTAGATCAGTCTGTTTTCAATAGATTTAGAACTTTGCAAGGAAGATGATTCTAACACTGTGTGGCTTCTCCTATATGCTGCTGCCTCAGTATTTGACACTAAACATTAAATTCATTCTTATTTATTTTAAGTAAATCAAAGTAGTCCTACTGTGATTCACCTTTATGACATGAGGCCTTAGGGTGCTTTTAATTCTGAAAACATCCTCTACAGCTAAAGAAAATGCAGTAATGTGGTTTGCATTCAAACAGAATCAACTTTTACAAGGGAATAGGCAAGGAAAAATTAAAACTATCCATTACTTTTGATTAAATTGAGGAAAAAGTCCAATTTTTTTTAAATTGCAAAAGCAGAAAATTATGAATAATTTAATTAATGGATAAAAAGATACTAGCACAGATAATCTGTTGTTGTTGTTGTTAAGTGCCATCGAGTCGATTCTGACCTATAGAGACCCTGTATAGGGTTTCCAAGGAGAAGCTGGTGAGCTTGAACTGCAAACCTTGCAGTTTAAACGGCTTTGCAGTCTAGTACATTAACGCACAGTGCCACGCCAGTTAATCACAGGTACTTAACAATCCTGGGGGAAAAAAAATCTTGCATGCATGGTAGTAAGATTGGGGTCTCAGAGCATGGAAAAGAATCAGAACATTTTATCCACAAAAGCAACCAATATGTGTTAAAATAACTTATTTGCAAATATATGCATTGTATTATAGTTTATTAGTCATACCCCAGACTTGTTTGTTCACTTATTATTTATTGCTATTACTAGGTACAATTGAGTTAGTACTGACTCAGAGACCTTATGTACAACAGACCGAATCTATGCCTACTCCTGGGCCAATCTCCCCATTGTTGCTAAACTCAATTCCACTGTTGTTGTCACTGTGCCAATCCATCTCACTGTGGGTCTTCTTCTTCGTTCATCCTCCACTTTACCAAGCATGATGTCCTATAGCAGGGACTGGTCCGACCTAATAATATGTCCGTACAATGAGAGATGAAGTCTGGCCATCCTGGCTTCTAAGGAGCATTCTGATTGTATTTCTCCCAACACAGATTGGTTTGTTCTTTTGTAAATCCATGGTACTTTTAATAATCTCCTCTAACACCATAACTCAAATGCATCAATTCTTCTATGGTCTTCCTTATTCACTGTGCAACATTCATATGCATATGAGGTTACTGAAAATACTATGGCTTAGGTCAGGCAGACCTTATTTCTCAAACTGGTTATCTTTGCTCTTCAACACTTTAAAGAGGTCTTGGGCAATAGATTTGCCTAATGCAATATGACGATTGACTTCCTGACTACTGTTTCCATGAGTGTTAAAGGCTGATACGTGTAAATGAAGTCTTCGATAACTTCAATAATTCCTTCATTTATCATGATCTTATATATTGGTCCAGGTTGTGAATTCTTTGAATGCTGAGGCAGCTTGTTTTATTTCTGCTTTTCTTTTTAATCATTCTTGTATTTCAGTGATTAGCACAGCTTGTGATAAACATGAAATACAGGCCGTGGGTCCTTGATTGTTTTCATTAGTAACATCCATGCAAGAAGATGTTGGCATTACTTCATTTCAGATTTTTAAGAGGGCAAGCAAATACTTTAAAATTAAAAGTATAGCACAGCTATAATTAATAATTTATTGGTATATTTATAGGTTCTTCATGAAAACAAGTGTTCCAAAATACTCTTTTCTCCACAATGTTGTCCATAGCTTGTCATGATCCACACAATCTTAAGCTTTGCATAGTCAATAAATCACAGATAAACATCTTTTTGGTATTCTCTGAAGTTAGTCAAGATTCATTTGGCATCAGCAATGATATCCCTCTTTCTATGTCTTTGTCTGATTCAGGCTGGAACCATTGGAAGGAAGTTCCTCGTCAATGTACTGTTGGAGCCATTTTTAAATTATCTCTGGCAAAAATTTTTATACCATTCAGTGTCCCCTTGTTTTGTAAATACACTGAATCGTTTAAAATTAGGAAATATCTGTGCCAGGGTTGTATTCTTCTACTGTACTGATTCAGTCTTTATGCTGAGCAAGGAATCTGAGAATCTATATCATATTAAGAAGAAAGTGGCATCAATATTGGAGGAAGACTCATTAACAACCTGCTATATGCAGACGATACAACCTTGCTTGCTGAAAGCAAAGTATTTTACAAGCTAGAGAAGGAGTAATACAGTCATTGTAACAAGACCTAAGAATTATTTTTGTAATACAATATGTACTGGAGATTCAAATCCCACAGAAAAGCGGATCCTTGGAATGAGTCTGGAATGACAGAAGCATTTCTTGACAAAAAAAGCAACTTGTGCAAATCACAAAGCCAAGTCAAGAGGGAAATGGTGTATTAGGGGAACATGACAATTTCAATTTTGGTGGATAAGAGAATGGCAAGGAAGACTGAGGTGAGTATGTTAGAGGACTCTGGGATTACACAATCACTTGGAAACTACACTATAGGTAAAAAGCCATTCAGAAAATTTAAATAGGAATCTGAACCAACCTAATTTAGTTCTAGAAACTAGTGTGAGAAAAGCAAATGTTGTTTTTCTGATGTTAAAGAGAGGTAAGTGAGGATGGTGCAATCTTTGGAATGGTAAACAGTAATTGTACACTTCTTGAACTCTTATCATCGAGTAATACGCCCCTGGAGAAGAACATCAGATATCATAATGTGGAGGATCAGTGAAAAAGAGAAAGACCCTCAATAATATGGACTCACACAGTGGCTCCCACAATGAACTCAATCAAACACAGCAAAAACTATTAGCATGGTGCAGGACCAGTTGTACATAGGGTCACTATAAGTCACAACCAACTGGATGATACCTAACAACAACAAAAACAACTGCAGAATATGACACACTATTGCTCAATGACAAGCTGCAGAATGATTTCTTCTTTTCTTTAAGGTTCAGATCATGTATCAGCATGTGATTTGGATGATGTTGCTGTTGTTAAGTACTGTTGAGTGGGTTACGACTTACAGCAACCCTGTAAAGGGTTTCCAAGGACTGGCTACTGTACTGAGCTTGAACCATCGACCTTGCAGTTCAAATGGACTTTGCAGTCCAATGCCTTAACCCTCAGTGCCAGAGGTTATATATTATTTACTTTTATTATTCACACAGATGTGGCCTTGATTTATGGTAACAGCATGGGCCCACCAAAAATAGCGTGCATGAATTCACTTATTGCTGGAAATAATTATGAAACTATTTAAGACCAATTGTTCATTAAACTAAGTCTCCAAATAACTAATCTCTTTAAAGTAATCAAGAGCATCTTAAATCTCAAGTACAAATACATACGAAAACACAGATGCATCAAAAAGTCTGTGCAAAAAAAATCCATATATTTTTATTCCATTTTTCTGGGAATAAATATCCATAAGTATTCTATTTACCATAAGTAGAAACAAAATAGAATCTCTCTGGAGCACAGATACGTTAAGTCCAAGAAAATCACTCTGATACAAAATTCCAATGACAAAACCTCCAAAGAACCAATTTTATTCATCAAAGGAATTTATTTACCTGAGAGAAACTGCATGTGGCCCATATATCTCTCTCACCGCTGACAAATCAGCTTCTAACTGAGGATGCTTGTGCAGTTCTCCATCATAGTTTACCTGATGAAAAGGGATGGTTTAGAAAAGGCTTAAAAAAAAAAAAGAAACACAAACATACTCTTGAAAAGATCACACTGTGAGCTTTGTTATGGATACCTTTTGTCAGATTATTTTTTTTAAAAAAGTAACTCAGCAGTATATTCACTAATTTTTAGATCCATAGGAAACTATGATAATTCACTGTGTTTGTTTTTGTTAAGTGCCTTCGCTTTCGAGTCGGTTCCAACCCTTAGAGACCCTGCATAAATGAAGATGTCCAAAAAAATGGAAAATAAATGTCTGGCAGGAAATCTGATAAACTTCTGGACTGAATATCTAGATTAAAGAAATCAATTATTTTTCATGAGTAAGATTAACTGTGTAAACAGATGAGACATAGAATTATAAAATTCCCTCAGAAAAAAAATTTGGAAGAATTCTTTTTTATAAATGTTAAAGTGTCATACTGTTGAAAAATAATTTCACTGGAAACAAAGTTCTATTGCTAAAAAGGTATGCCTTGAGAGAAAAAAATTACATATATTGTTATTGTTAAGTGCTGTGTAGTCAGTTCTGACCCATAGTGACCTTGTATAGGGTTTCTGAGGAGTCGTTGGTGAGCTTGAACCGCCGACCTTGTAGTTCAAATGACCCATCGCACCACACTGGGACTCCACTTACATATGAGGGTTTTCAAAATATTTGTGGAAAATGGAATTTAAAAAAAAAAAAAAAATGGAATTTTTCCACGAACTTTCTGATGCCCCTTTGTATGTGCTATGTTGTTGTTGTGGTAAGTGTCACTGAATTGGTTCCTGTTCATAGCAATCCTGTATAGGGTTTCTGAGGCTGCAAATCCTTGTGGGAGCAGAAAGCTTCATCTTTCTACGCATGTATGCATATACATTTATGTATATACATTATAAATATATGTATATTTGTATATACATATATATGTATATTGTATACACACACATAGAGAGTGAGTCTTGGTTTGGTGCTGTCAATTTAAACTGCAAGGTGGGAAGTTCAAATTCACCAGTTGCTCCTCTGAAACCCTATACAGGGTCTCTATGAGTTGGAAACAAGTCAACAGCACTCAACAACAATATAATATATACAATATATTATATTGTGATTAGCTGTCTGGTATCCAGGACTTATGAGTCGGAACCGAATCCACGGCACACCACTCCCACCACCACCATATATATCCTACTTATATATACAAAGAAAGAGAGTGTCCTGGTGTGGCACTGTAGGATAGGTACCGGACAATGGACAGCTAATCACAATGTTAGTGTTCAAACCCACCAACCACTCTGTGGAAACCTTATACAGTCACTTAACAACAATATATATACAGAAACACACACACACATATATATATATATATATATATATATATATATATATATATAGTTGTTTTTAAGTGCTGTTGAGTCGTTTCTGACCCATAGCGACCCTGTATAGGATTTCCAAGGAGCGTTTGGTGAGCTTGAACCACTGAATTTGTGGCTCAAACGACTTTGCGGTAGTACAGTGCGTTAGCCCACAGTGCTACACCAGGACACACACTCTCTCTCTCTCTCTCATATACTTAAGATATATATATTTAAGATATATAACTAAAAGTATAATAATGTAAAATTTAAAAGCATAATAGATTTTGATAATGAACTAGGTCAACTTCAATGTAATGAATGATCATAACAAACAAAAGAATTACAATTTTGGAAAATATGTTGAAAATGAGAAACAGGTAAATTATATGCATTTTCTACTTATTAACAAGCCATGACTAACACATAGGTCTCCTAACTCCAAGGCACAGACATTCATTAGGACATATTAGACTACTACTAACCTTCCTAGTATTAGGTTATCTGTACTTACCTGTCCTCCATAATAAAATTCTTCAGAATCATTATCACCTTCAGAATCTTCTTCCACTGTACTATTCTGTCTTGAGTCCTAAAAATAATAGAATGAAAAGCCAATATGAATGACCAAAGAAGCCAGCCTCTTTATCAAGAAAGTAGTAAATGGCTTTAATAGTCACATATTCTGCAGATTTTATATAAAAACAATTTTGATGCAATACAATCTAAAAAAGTAGTAGGATGTAAACTTTTGTGGGCACATTCAGCTCTACATAGATCACTTTTAAAAGTTCTGTTTCTCTGACCTTTGAGTGAGGTGTGCAATTTAATATTTGATGTATATTGAAAAAGTAAATATAACCAACTATGCCTTTGTTTTTATCCTCATAAAACATTTGTCCAGTTCATGCTGATTGAATCTTTACTTAAAAGCTCCTCAGCATTACTTATCCCAGACTGCTCACTTCCAAGGCAACTCTACACAATGGAATGAAAGAAAAGACACTCTGAATCCAATAATATATAAATTAAATTGTAAAGAGAAATGGGAATCATATTATGAAGAGAACCATTTCAGTTTATAGGAAATACGTTTTGTATTTCAGATTTCAAAATTATGTTCAAATACGCTTTAAGTTTCCATTTCCAATGAACTGAATCACATCTGTTATGTGTCTAAAGTGGAAACAATAAAATTCATCTGAAATCACTAGTCATTAATTAAACTACTGGTGGTACTCACATCCCTAGCTCTACTAATAACAGTGAGGAGAAAAGGAGCTTCCTTTGCACAGAAGGATCCAATCCTCCAATGCTTTGTAATCATCCCTAAAGTTCTACACTGAATTGCAAGCTCTTAGAAAAACAAAAAGCTAGAAAAGGATATTGGAATTTGTAAAAACGTTACCACTTTTTGGTTTTAGCAACAGCTTGACTATATCAGTGATCCTCAATGCATGTAGGTAAAAAGAGGAAGAACAGAATAGACACAGAAAGGGAAGTGCATAGTTTTGAACACAAAGAAGTGTTGGGGAAAATACACAATCATTTTGTTTATTTAATATCCTCGCATTCATTTATAGTTTCAAGTAAAATTTTTGTAAGGGGGATAGGGTGTGTAGTATAAGATTGTTCTTTTTTTAAGACTGATCAATAGTAATAAGATACACTGAATCTATATGCTACTTTGACTAAAAGATAATGTTTTAGAAATGACCTATTAAGGGGCCAGTCAAAATTTGTACAGTAATGTACAAGTGACTTAAGTGTTCCTCAGTCAACTACATTATTTGATGAAAGAATAGAGTAAGTTTTTTTTTCATTCATTTAATTTAGATTTAAACCAAACATTCTTTTACTACGATTTTAAAGAAAAAGTCCTTCTCAGGGTTAATTTTGGGCCACTCCTCTTACCAAGAGGTCTGCTGTGCCATATAGGACATGCACTGGACTGCTAACATCAAGATCGGCAGTTCAAACCCACCAGCCATCCTTAAATACGCTAATACGCTATATACGTGGTTGTATAGTCAGCCCCAACTCAATTGCACTTAACAATAGCAACCCCTTTATCACATGAAAAAACTAAAAACCCTAATCCAGAAGTTTGTACTTCATTTCTTCTACCATATGCAATTTAAATCTGAGTAAGAATGGTGGCATTAACTATAAAATACACAGTAAATTGAAAATATATAAAATGTCATTTACCTACCTCCCCATTTTCCTTCTGTAATTTTGATTTTATGGATAAGCAACAGTTAATGTCATTTGTTTTTCTTAATTCTGAAAGAAAGTTACAATTTAAAAAATAAGCTATTTATCAAATACTAATGAACTTCCATATAAAAACAGTGCTTGTCTAAGATATTGCAGTCAAGCTGAAGATTCTGTCAGCTCTCATTACACACTTTACAATAACTACTTTGCCCTAAACGTGCTTTTTAATGATTTATTTTACCTAGCAGTTTGTCACCATGCACAAACATATTTTCACAACAGCAAATGACAACATAGTACTTGTACACTTGAAAAGTAAACTTATACATTCAAAAACACTTGAAAAACATAAACTGACATATTTTAAATAGAAAAGTTGTATGGAAATCCAAATTTATAGATGCTAAAGGTAAATATCCACCATAGCTGTTAAAGCAAAATAAAAACTACTTCTTTTTTTTTTAAGTCACCTAAAAGAGAAAATATTTCAATTCCAGTTACCTGTTGCTATTCGATGAAATATTACTGGAATTGGCTCAGTAGTAACTAACACATCTTCATCATTGTCTGAACTCGACACATACGTATTGTCTGCAAAGAAGTACAGATTATTAAGGGATAATAACTTAAAAAACAAAAGTTTATGTTCAATTAGTTTTGTTTCAACAACAATCAAGCACACACTACTGTTCTGATAAAATTCAAGAAAAAATTCTGAAGTAAATCAAACATGTACGTGTCACTCAAGTCTAAATGACCACCTTGAAGACGTCTGCATCTCTTCTATAGGAAAGAGAGACTATCTAGCCTACCCAGATGCATCTTTAATATCTCAAATGGTACGTAAAAGGTCAGCCCAAGTCACTGAGACATCCCAACAACAATATACACGAAGGGAAACATGTGTCATAGCAGAGACAGCAAAGAGGACCACTTGGAATAATTATGATTTAATATCCAGTCATTTACGAATTTGAGCTGATGATGTTGTTATAAACCAAGCCTCTCACCTTGCTCTAAAATTACCTTCAAATGAATGTAAAGTGTCCTTCTTCTTCCATGAATTAATTTTATCAAAATACACATGACAAGTTTAATGTACAGGTTGTTGTTGGTAAGTGACTCACTGTAACCCTCTATAGGGCTTTCAAGGCTTTAAATCTTCGTGGGAGCAGAAAGCCTCATCTTTCTCCAGTGCAGTGGCTGGCAGGCTAGAACCTTAGACATTGTAGGTTGCAGTTCAGTGCTTATTGTATGGAGCCACCGCACTGCCTTAATGTACACAACACTAAGTTATTCCACACGTTCCTAAAGTTTCATTATTCACTGTGTTTCCTCTAGGGAAAAAAATTAATTATTTTTATAATTCTAATGTTTTCCCCAATGATTACTGATTCTTAAGTATAAGCTAATGAACTTGAACTTAATATAACACGTGTTGTGTGTTTTTTAAATTCTATTTTGCTCACTGTTGTCTGCAAGGCATCTAGATACTTTACAAACACTTTGCCATTTCTTTAATATTAGACCTAAAATACTTGTTGGTGGCAAACTAGTAGTATAATAAGTATAAAATAGTATAAAACATCCCTAAGGAAGCTTGTATCAATTTCTGCTAAGAGAAATTTTGCATTCAGATGACTGACTAAAGAAAAAAATATCCTTCAGAGCCAAGTTTTCACAATATTGTGTCAGTACTGTGAGAACATGATTTCTAATTGATAGATATCTACGTCATTGCTTTATTTCCAAAGAAACATCTGTACTGTGTTTAGACCTTGAGTAATGAGTAAATGAAACTGATCTGTATTCGCAGCTTAATTTCAAAAGACTGAATAGTATTCAGAACGGTGAAAGGGGAAGGGTGGACTAGTTTTACAACAAAACAGAATTTTAACCACAACTTTTACTTTATTTAGATTTTCAAATATTACCAAGGAGGGTGTGAAATTTCTATGCTTATCAAGTGGGATTAATATGTTTATCTTTTATCAATATCTCATCATAGTGTTTAAGTTTGGTCATTTTATCTAGAACTTGTTCTGTCAGTAACCTCATACTTAAATCCTTCTATTAAAGCCTATTTGTTTATTTCTAAAGTCCTGACTTGGCGTCTTATAGATTAAGTCATCCAATATTTATCAGCCTAGTTGTCTGTTTTCCTGGATTCCTTGGAGCAAGGCCAGTGAGAAAGGGAACGTTAAAGCAACAGAAGAAAGAGATGACCACTAACCAATAGGAAAAATCCAAAAAGTGAGCATAAAATCAAATAACATCAAAACATCATGAAATGATGGAATCAAAGTCATCAAGAAGCTACTAAAGTAAGGCCTTTAGGTTAAGAAAACACAGAGCAACTTAGTTTAGAGAATTTTCTACCAAAATGGCCTGCATAAAATTCTGATATTATAAGGCAGTAAGATACCATTCGGAGTCCTGGTGTGACACCGCAGGTTAATGCTGGCTACTGCATGCAAGGTCGGTTTGAATTGCAAAGTCGGCAGCTCAAGCTCACCAGCCACTCCTTGTAAACCCTATACAGGGTCATTATGAGTCAGAACCGACTCGATGACACTCATCAACAACAAAATACTATTCAGGGGAATATTTGCAGTTTTGTGAATACACGTTACATGGATTATGTTTTTAAACATATTTTAGAAGAGATTTTTTTTAAATCCCAGTTTAACCAAAATCTTGCTAAAACACTGATACCACAACATTGAAGGAACAGAGAAGTAACAGATAAACAACATTGCTTTAGAAAAATGTTTCCGTTTAATTATCTGTTTCTATTTTGATTAGCATTTAGTCATTAAAACATTTTACTTTCTGTTTTTGGCTTTATATGTTGTGATCTGAAATGTTGAGAGGCTTTATAACAGTATCTATTCACTTGTCATTATGACCAAATCACAGGAATATGTGCAAGACATGAACAGAACTGAAGCACGGTAGAAAAAGAATTTCTAACCTACAGTGTGTTACCAATTTGCAGTTGTTCCTTTTTACTCTCAGCCAAGGTCTTCTAAACCATAAAATAAAGAATTTTGCTGAAGAGTCTCATGTATCTTCCTAGCTGTTTAAGAACATGTTTTTGTTTTTGCTTAAACAATTACTTCTAAATTTTCCTCAGACTATTTTGACATCTGCAATAATAACAAAATCTTGGTTCAGAGATTACAAAATAGGACACAAAAATCCGGAGGAAAGCATTTAAGGTAACAGAATGAGTCAGTGATAGGACAGGAATGTTTTCAAACTCGAATACCTTCACTGGAATTCTCACACTAGGCTGCCGATTTTTTTTTTTTACTTCTTAATTTTTTAACCTCTGGGGGTAACTAGGCTCATTAAGGCATTTGCTTTGTATGAAACCTGTAGCTATTTGCTAACAGCTGTTAATACTATTAATATTTTCTTTTCACTGTACTACCTGACTATGCACAGATTACCAGAAAATCTGTGGACAACTGGGGGAGGGGTTTAGTAGAAAACTATGGTAAAACATTATTTAAACTACTGCTTTTATTTTTTTCAAATGCAGCATAGTTTAAAGTCAAGTCTTTCACTTTTTCATGACTATATATAACTTGGTATAAATAATAACTACAAATAGTGATTTTATTTATTTTGTAACATATTCAGACTGTTTTCTTGAATTCAGTTTGTAATATTCCTATTATCACCCAAGCTAGTCATTTATTATCCCTATTTTAAAACTGGGGAAACTGAGGCTCAGCACAATTAAAAAGTAATTTGTTGAAGCTATTTAAGCAATTAGCAAATCGTGAGGGTTGATTCTAATTCGAAAAGTCGGGTTATTGAGTTTTTTATTTTTTTGTTATTTTGAGAAAATATGAAGAAATACTCAAACTTTTCAATATATAAATATGTTGTTATTGTTGTTGTTAAGTGCCATCAAGTCGGTTCCGACCCATAGTGACCCGAACAGGGTTTCTGAGGCTTACGAATTAAATATAGTTCATTTAAAATAGAAGTTAAGGAGCTCTGGTAACATAGGGGGTTACAAGTTGGACTGCAGTCCTCCAGAACAGCAGTTAGAATCTACCAGCCACTCCTCAGGAAAAAGATTTACAACCCATAAAGATTTACAGGTTCAGAAACCCTATTCAGGGTTGCTATGAGTCAGAACCAACTCCATGGCACATAACCACCACCATAATTTATTAGGATCCTAGTTTTCAGCCAAATGGTTCACATACAATATTACACAAGATGTCCAAGTATCTGCACAAAGGTAAAGACTATTTGGACTTATAGGTACTAGAGGATCCAGAACTGCATTCTCCTTCCTCAATTAGAGAGTAACGTGACAGACATTAGAGAACTCATCCTCACCAGTAGTAGGTTAAGTCTCAAAATTAAAAGTGATGTAATAATAGAGGATTGTGTCAACACTTAACCTCAGTACGGCAGACAGGAGCCTCTGGTGGTAAGCAGCAGCTCTTAATGAACAAAGATAAGGTGCAAGAGGTTACCATAATGGACAGCCAAATCAAAGTAATAATGAGACAGAATAGCCTGGTTTTCAGGGCTGTGGCAGAGGTGTTGTTACAAACTACCATGGAGTCTATTCCATCTAACAGTGAGCCTTTATAGGAGCTCTTGTTAGGCCTGAACCACCAATCTTATGGTTAGCAGTCTACTACTTACCCACACCAGGGCTCTTTTCAGTTAATAAGTATTGTTGTTGTTTGTTGTTGGGTGCTTTCCAGTCGGTACCGACCCATAGCGACCTTATGCACAGCAGAACAAAACTGCCCAATCCTGACCAACCTCACTCCTGTTGCCACGCTTGAGTCCACTGATGCTGCCACTAGGCCAGTCCATCTCGTTGGGGGACTTCCACTTTTTCTCTAACTCTCCAACTTATCAAACATGATATCCTTCTCCAGTGACTGGTCCCTCCTGACAATATGTCCGAAGTATGAGAGACAAAGTTTGGCTATCTTGGCATCCAAGAAGCGTTCTGGCTGCACTTCTTCCAAAAATTGGTTCTTTTGGCAGCCCATGGCACTTTAAATATTCTCCAACACCATAACTCAAAAGCATCAATTCTTCTACAGTCTTCCTTAATCACTGTCCAGCTTTTGCATGCATGTGAGGTTATTGAAAAATACCATGGCTTAAGTCAGGAGCATCTTAGCCCTCAAGCTGACATCTTTGCTCTTCAACACTTTACAAAGCTCTTGTGCAGCAGATTTGCCTAATTCATACGTCGTTGGATTTCTTTACTGCTACTTCCACGCTGTGAATTGGAGAAGAATGAAGTCCTTGACAACTTCAATCTTTTCTCCATTGATAAGAATGTTGTTTATTTGTTCAGTGGTGAGGATTTTTGTTTGTTTACATTGCGATGTAATCCATACTGAAGGCTATGCTCTTTGATCTTCATCAGTAAATGTTTTAAGTCCTCTTCACTTTCAGCAAGCAACGTTGTATCATCTGCATGTCGCAGGTTGTTAATGAGTCTTCTTCCAATCCTGATGCCACGTTTTTCTTCATATAACCCGGCTTCTCACATTATTTTCTCAGCATACAGGTTGAATAAGTATGGGAAAAGAATA